AACTTCCCACTTCAAAAACACAAACAAAAAGCGGCACATACCCCAAGTTGATGGCATTATCTGTGGGAAGCCCTCCCAAAAGTTTCGCCGCGGGGCATCTCCCGCAGCGCGTCATGCACCGTCACCTCCTCCGGCCAACACCTGCCAGACCCGCTTAAAGGGACCAACGAAAATAATCTTGCAGAATTCCATATTGTGGAGGATATTATTGACAACCCCGCAAAAGGCTCTTCTGTTAGGGTCGGCAAACGCGGTTCCTACGGCTCTGTCCCTTTGGCTCAGACATGTGAATATGATCTAGCGGTGCCAGCCAAAACAGCCACTGCTCTTGGCAGCCGCTTGTTACAGAAAATTGCCGCCGTGCCGAACTTCGGCGGCTGAACCCAACTTTCCAGTTCGAGAACACTGTCTGCCTCATAAACATGTTATGGATTGCGAGTGCCGGAGTCTCTCAGGCACGCAGCTTCTCAAGGTGCACGCGCGCAACATTCTTTGCCGAGGTCTGGGACTAAAGAGAGACCTCGTTTGTGGAGCCACACAAGAATCCAAGGCCAACAATTGTGATGGACCTGTGTAGAGCTTGCGGAGCTCAAAGTGTAAAAAGCGACACGTACAGCAGCTGAGTAGATCGGTCCTGCGCGCAACTTAAGATGGCCCGGTTTGCACATGGGTGTGTCTTTCCTGCAGGGTACCCCCTTTTTGCCGGTGTCAAAGGAAAACCGGGAGATTTTTGGGGGGTCCCCTAAAAAATGACACAGCCACATGAGTGGAGAGTTGAAGCAACACAGCTTCCCCGCCTATATCTCTGGCCCTGCTCATCCCGGGGCAGGTAAACCCGCATGCCCCAGGGCTTGTGGATGGCGACGAGCCCGTCCTCACCGGGGAAAGACGCCGGACTTGGAGCTGAGGGATGGTTGCGATATCCGCTTCCCGCACCACGAAATGAAACCAGGATAACGCTTGTTGGTACCCTCCCACCAATTAACATGGAACCTGACAGGCAGGTCCTGGAAGAACCATTTTCTTTTTAAAGGGACCTTCTGTCAGGTCCACGTTAATTGGTAGGGTGTTTACGTTGAATCGAATCAGATTCCGTTGGGCTTCTGAACGGTGCGAGAGGGGTTTCAAGTCCATCCCACAGTTTCGAGGGTTACGGAAGGGACTTCCGGAGCTGATGTTGTGAATAGACCTTCACTTCTTCATGGGAAACCAAAAGTTCATGGCAAAGAACCGAACAAGCAGCTTTATGTACCTAGTTTGTTCTCCACCAAAGCTTGTTTGACCCAGACGTTGATTCTGGTTCACTGCGAGCTTTGGCTGCAACATCCCGATACTTCCCCGGATTGGGTCAAGTTGGCTAGTCAAGCAAAAATTGTTAATCAAATGTTGCAACGATGGACCTTGGAGAAACCGAGACCCCCACTTGAATCATTTTCTCAGAACATCTAAGAAGCAGGGCCTCAAATTTGCCCCAACAAATATGAAACTCCACAACAAATGAAGAATTGGGCTCTCAAAACAGTCCGAAACGTCCCCTAGCCCATGTCTTTGTTGGTATGGTTTGTCTTGGTTTGTCTGCGCCCTTGCTTGCGTGCTTGCTTGCTTGCTTGCGTGCTTGCTTGCTTGCTTGCGTGCTTGCTTGCTGGCTGGCTGGCTGGCTGGCTGGCTGGCTGGCGCGCTTGTTTAAGGGGTAGACATCTTGTCTAAAACTGGCACAGGAGAGGCACGGTGCGACTCCAAAAGTTGACAAACCTCAACGAATGAACTGACCGATCCAACTTGCTTGTGTGCCCCGTTTCGCTATGCTATCTCCACCAACCACTTCTGAGTTGGCATGTGACGTTTCTTTGCAAGGAATGCAGCGCCAAAAGTGAGAGACTTGGGACCGCTTTTGGGAGGCTTCCAGCGCGGGTGGACTCCCGAAGATAAACTTGAGTGCGAACCAGTGTCAACAACAACAAAAAAGCGCAAAGTCCGCAAGGACTCGAACACCCCCCCCCCAAGAAAACGCCCCCCGACACACACTTCTCCAATTTTTGGGTGGGGGCATATGGGAACCCAGGCCGTTTTGCACAAGGCTTTGATAGGCTCCTTTTCACCACAAGCAAGTCGGCTGGCCAGAAAGGTTACACCAGCTTTACTTAGTTCGCTTCGGACTGCACCCGTGGAAAATCGCGGTAGAAGCAATGTATGACTCCAGCTACCCTTCCTCCCACTTTTCATGGCACCTGTAGGGTATCCGGAAGATCAGTCCAAATCTATTTAATAATAATAAAAAAAAAAAAAAAAAAAAAAAAACGGGTCCCTGTCAGGTGCCACGTTGTTTAGTTAAAACAAACTGGGAAATCTGAGATCAGTCCAAACCTTCCAAAAAGCCCGTGTCCCGGCCCCGGTGCCACAAAAGGGCGAGACAGAACCGGACAAATCTGAGAGAACTTGACCGGAGCCCGGAGCCTCCGTCCTCTTCCCAGAGCTTCCGGACCGCATAGTCCGTCAGCACCTGGCAGGCCACTCGAGTGGCACTAGCCACTGGCCTTAAGGGGCGGGGGAGTTTCTGGGCACCTGGTTGGGTCTATCCGGGGGAGTTTCTGGGCACCTGGTTGGGTCTATCCATCCATGCGTCTCTGTGGGTGTTGTTGTTTTGTCTGCCTCCCTTTGAAACTCCGGCCCAAACAGGGGGTGGGAGGGGGGTCTTTTGGGCAAGCCCACGAAACCAATACTCAAAGCATGGGAACACAGAATCGGGTACCTGGAAGTCGAACTCGATCCAAATTGCCACCAGATGCCTTCACAAGAAAATATCTGTCAAAAGCAAGAACCTCTCAAAACGAAGCCCTTCCTCTGCTAAAAAACCTCGGCTCAATCCCTCAACATCGTTTATGGAAGGAGCACACATCCGATTCCCAAAACAAACTGGACTGACTTCCCGAGAGCCATTTCGACGATCGGCGCTGAATGGTAGAGATGGCAAGCGCGGCATCAATGCAGGGTGCCAGGTCCCACCGCGCAAGCATCACATCGAGTCGCGGGCTCACGCCTGCCAGTAGACACTGTAGACGCTAGTTGCGTCAGCGGTGAGACAGGCTGGTGGAAGCTGCGTTCTCGCAAATCCTGCCCAAACTGTCAAGCTTGAAGCGCCGCTCGAAACCTGGCAACGCCGCAGCACGATCTGCTTCGTCATGCTGTGGAAAGACAAGACTCGATGCTGAGGCCTGGCGCAGTCTCGCCTGGCCAGGCTCGTGAATCCGGCACTGCTTAACGCTGCATCTGCGCAAGCCACCCACCGAGCAACTGGCGACCCGATCTGCTCAAGGCGCGCTGGCGGAGCCAAGGCCACACGTGCACGGCTCACACCAACCCTCGATTTCTCCACATCGCCCTTGCCTCGGGAGCTACAGCCTCAGAAAGCTGAGTCATCCTCTTGAACAGCCAGTTGCAGGCAAGTCTGGAGTGACATCTGCGCACGGTCGCAGCTTCGAACCCGAATCAACAGGGCTGGCCTCAGCCCCACTCCTCCCCTCGTTCCTGAGCGCCAAGCAATCCCTTCCTTGGCGCACAATCGGAACTTTTGCGTGCCCACTGGCACTTCTCACCCTTCTCACAAGCACTCATGCTACTGCTGGCACAAACCCCCCCTCGTTTGCCTGACAAGCCTAAAGCCTGGCTCGAAAAAGGTCAATGGCTGAGCACACACCTCAACGTTTGCTGGCAGACTGTTGGCATGAAGGACTTGGCAAGGCTCGTGTCAAATGTGTCAAGCCCTGCATTGGTCTGAGAGCGTTGGTGCGGCGACAGCTGCTCAATTTCTAAGTTGCTCGCCTACAGCTTACAACTGCCACACTCTTGGAGTGGAGTTCCTGGGGGTCCTGCGAGCCTAGACCCAGTACTTGGAGACAAAGCCACAGCACACGCTGTACAATTGCGGAGTAGGTCGATGTTTCACACTTTCTGTCCTGGTCTCCGGAATCGCCAAAAGCCCAGAAAGAGATCTGCAATCTCTGTCACTGTCCAGCTCGTCCAACTGTGGCACACACAGCTCACGCCTTGGCCGCAGCCCCTTGAAAAGCCCCGCAAGTCGGCTCTCGCCGAAGCCAGGCGCAGCGCCGGCGCCAGGCGGCTGCAAAGGCTGGGCAGGCAAGGCAACGGGCGTTTCCTTCCGTTGGAACTTCTGCCGTCGGTCCCGTCGGTCGGCTTGGCACTCGCAGCGTGGATTTGGCTACAAAGGTAAAGTCGTTGAGGGCTCAGGCTGCCAGCCCTTCATGGCCACGCGCAACTGCTCCCCCTGAAAGTCAAGACGGACTTTGAAGCCAAGGCGTGAAGGTGTGGCGCACGCTGTCGCAGACTGCAAAGTGTTGGTACCCCTAGGGGTCGGTACCTCTTGTTTTGCCCTGGTTACGACAGCTTCGCAAGAAACGCCTGCAACCCCCGTGCCTTTGCAGCAGCTAGGGGTACGCAGGAGGCAATGGGGCGAGGCGCATGGAAATGCAGAGTCAAAAATGCTCTTCGCGCGCCCCCTACTTGATCAGCTGTGTGTCGTGGAATGCCAGCTTTCCCGCAAATGACGACTTTCGGCGGGTATTGGGGCCTCAGCATTTTAGGCAGCGATACTGATTGCCAATGCGCGAGTGATTCCAATTGGGAGAGATGAGGCAGCTTTGAGGCGAACCTAGGTCAAGCGGGATCCAGCTGCGCTGGGCAGGCGACAGGCCTCAGGAAGCCTTTGCCAGACTCGGACAGACGGCGACAGAGCTGTGGGCTAAGCAAAAAGCTTTCGGGGAATCAAACGAACTGGCATGTTCTTTGAATAGGCACAGGCTGAATACTTGAAGTGGCAGAACTCAACTAATCTACATGCAAGCGATAATGCCGCGAGCTACAGCAGTAGCATTGTCTAAGCCTTTGACCTCGAGTGAAGCACCCCATGGGTTCCAAGGGATGCTGTCGCTGGTCGCGGCATTAATACAAAGGTTTAGCGCCAGTTGTCTTACCACAGACATGGCTTGCAAGAGAGTTCCAAGTTTTAGCCGACGTCAGTCCACACGAAATGCAAGTACCCCCATGTTGCATTCTTTGCTGTAGCTGCTACACCAAAGTTTCGAAAGCTCAACCTGCGACTCTGTCAAGTTGTGGTCAAACCGGGCACTGCAAAACACGGCCCTAGCTGGCCACGAAGGTGACATGTGTCAAAGTTGCTGGCTGCAGTGCATTGAATGGGTGCAAACACGCAAACAAATGCGGAGAATCACTGCCAAAATCACAATCCACCCTGCACCCGCTTTGAAGCTTCCGGGCGCGCGTGTTGCAGCAAGTGTAAGTATCACCGTCAGCCATCGCAATGCACACATGCATTGTGGCCACTTGCAAACTCATCCCCCCGTAGAATGCTTCACTTCAACACTGGCTTTTGCGGAGCATCAAAATGCATTGCATCGAGCGCAAGAGATCCCAGCACCTGACCAGGGTGCCTTTGAAGATACGGAGGTTGGCACAACTCCTTTGGTAAAGGATGACTCAACCAACAACGGGGAAAAGGGGGCCATCTGCGTTCACACAAAGGTACATCCAAAAAGCACCTCCTCAAAATCAGCTGGTTTGATCGTGATTCTTAGGGTGACGCATCTGCATTCGTTGCCGCCATCGCGCATCGCAACGCGCGTTCTTTTGAGGTTGCAGAAATTCCTTGCTGGAAGCGCTACGACCACAGTGCCTTGGTGGCAAACACCTTGCAGTGTGGAGCATCTGACACACCTTCCAGTTCTTGATCAGGGGATTCCCCTGGAAGAGCGGAATCCCAACAACAACGGAAACACCTTCAGCGCTTCGCACAACATCATACAAGTTGTCGGGTTGCCCTTGTCCTGGGGTGACCCACCTCGTGCTTAGGCGAGCCCACAGGCCTCTACTTGCTTGCCATGCGCTCGCTTTCTCGCTTGCTGCTAAAAGAGAGCTTCACGGTCGATAACCTTCTAATAGCAAGCTATTTTCTAGTTGCCCCGTTTTTAGCGAAATGTGGCGTGGTTCCCCATTCCGGAGAATGAATGAGCAATGCTAGCTACCAACTTCTGCTTTGCAATCTCGAAGATTGTTTGAGGTAGAAAGTGCACGACGTCACCTTTGACAGGGACCGCAGTTGGGCAGCTATTCGGGAGCTATGTGCGAGCGCGGGGAAAACGCGAGCTACAACAAAAGGCAACGTGCTTCCTTCTGTTCAAGCCTTTGCCGGGATGTCGGCTGAACACTGGCCTTCTGCGCACGTGTTCGAAGTGCGCACATGTGAGGATCTGCCAGCCGATTGAAGCGGATTTCAGGCTTCGCCAGTCACAGCGGCGCGCTGCCGGAGGGCACCCCATAGATTTCCATGACAGAGCCAGTCGTGGTTGGTGATCGCTCACCACATGTTTGCCTGCACCCGGGAATGCCTTCGATAGAAATTGTTGACACAAGTGGCAAATCGCTGCAACGCAGGCTGACGGTTGTTGCGCTAAAAATTGCTCCAAGGTGTTGCTGGGCTCGCAAAGCTTGAGGCTCAAGTGAGTGGGTGCATGGTGAAACGCTGCTAGGAAAACCCCTGCGCTCGGAAATGGGTGTCAGTCCGGGCACAAACAATCGCTTTACACGGGAGGATTGGGTTCCCCCGGCCGTGCCATCGATTCACAGCACCTGGGCTAACGCAGCTGGACCTGCAGAAACCAGATCCGCGTCGGATCGCGCAGCGCAAGAAGCGCTGTGTCAGTGCTCCTTCTCACGATTTCAGGAAATGGGACACTCGTCATTGTCTATTCAATATTCATCCGAAACGGCCACCTGATTTCCATGCGACCCCTTGAAAGGTATGTTTTGTCTTGGCGACTCTTCGTGGTTGTGGAGCCAACACAAGACATCCTTTGAAGAATCCGACATGCGAACCTTTCCATGCAACCAACTTGGCAAAGCTGCACAACTTGCTTGTGACCTCTTCAAAGCAATGCACTGAGAAGCTCATCTCTGCGTCAGCGTCATGGAATGACCCCAGATCACAGGATGGTGCGAGTTGCCGTCGCTCGCACATATTTGTAGCGCTGAACGCATCCATCAGGCGGTGCTGTGACCAGGGACACCGGCCTTTTGAGTTGGCATGTCCTGGCGCTCTTCTGATGGATAACGTTTTCTGGGCACATCCAAAATTGCTGCTAACAACTGCAAACATCATCAACCATCTGCAAGCAGAGCCCGACAAGTGCTGGTGACATGAATTCGAAGAGGCGCCAGTATTGGGGGCCCACAGCAGCAAAGGCCTTTGAGCGCTAAGAACGTGCTCGTTGGCAGGCATCTCCGGTGTCAAACTCAACTTCTTGCTATGCGAATAGGTCATTCACATCTTCAAGATCCTTCGCTCTTTTCAGGTGGGTGCTGCAAGCTCTAGTGACCCAGGGCTCGTACACATAGACCCCACTTCCATGGGCTTAGCCTAAGGAGGGCTTGGTCACTGATCATAGTTCCGGCGAGTTCACGCTATTCCGC